GCCGAACGGCCGTCAGCCAAACTTCACAGTTTAATAAAGTTGAAACAAAACAGCTTCGTGTTGTTGAAATTTTATTTAAAAAACTTCTAACTGCAAAATGGGGTGTAATCTTCAACCGTACATTATATATATATATATATATATATATATATATATATATATATATATATATATATATATATATATATATATGTATATATATAATATTACATACTTCAACATCATGCATGTACTTCATATAAGTTGATTCCTCAGGTTTGACAAAGTTCAGCTGACTGATCCAAACATGCAATCTTTCAATGGAAGCCTGTGTGGCAGCATATATGTATTTATGTGTGTGGTATGAAGTGTTTTGTGCAAAATTCATTTAAAATATAATAAATGCAATTCATTCAATATGTAGGAGCCACTAGCTTTATAATAAGCTTTATAATGGGAGATGTGATGACGTAACGATCAAAGACACCGGGTCCTGCTGGATTCGGTTCGAGCGCAAAAAGATCAAAGAGCGCTTACCAGTTGCAATGTAAATGATGCGTGGTTTTCACGCGTATTTATACACGCTGTGTTTGTCGGTTATAAAAAAATTTCATGAATTTGCGTGTCATCCTTATATATCTGAAGCAAGTGCACAAGAGGGAATGAATGACCTTAAACTTTTAACCTATAAACATTTTTGGAATAAGTGTAGGCACATTCTGAAAATAATTACAGTACTAAACAAGAATTTGAAACAAAATTAAAATAGGATGCTAACAAGTTGTCCTTTCAAATGGAATGTGACGAGTTGTGATGGAAGGACAGATTGGTTGTTGTGCATGGGGTACAAGCAGGGGCCATCTATAGGATCCTGATGTACGTTGAATGAAATGCGACTATGGTGAAGGTGATGAAGCTGTGTTGTTGAAGACAACAATATAATATTTAGAAGTGTATTGAACAAAATGATGTTCATAAATTATAACAATAACAATCCTTGATGAAACATCTTATTATAGTAAATGCATTTTGAAAACTCACAATGGTTTCGACAACAATTGTGACGTCACGTGATACTGGATTGGTGAGAGTTACAAATGTACCGCCACCTTTCAACACGCCCACTCCCTCTCCGTGAGGAGAGTATACCCACCCAACATCATAAAAATGCGTGTGATGAGCTGTTGGATTGAATTAAATTAGCGCAACCGTCATCATCAAGGCAACATTTCGGGTGCGACGTTGTTAATGATATGTCTTATCACAACGTGTGAAATACTGAATGGTGGGTTCATTGACTGAGCTTAGTTATATACATATTTGCAAACGACGAAAAAATTTTTAAATCAGAAAAAGACGCCTGCCCCCATTTTGCTCGTTATTGCGAACTTGTTTTAATAAATTAATCGTTTGGTGCAATAAACAGAATGAGTAAATGTATACGGAAATAGTGACTGAAAAGTAGCGTCCAGTGTTCCCGTGTATGAGACGATTGACCCACTGATTTAGGTGTATTAATGAGTAAAATATCTAAATTTGATAATCACACATATAACGTGACAAATCAACGTCTTCTTCGACCTATTTTAATACGGACAAGATTGACAGCGTTCATAATAGGGCAAGATAAAGTAGTGAGGGAATGGATAGCGTTCAAATGTGAAGTGATTACTTTATTTGAATTTGTCATGTTTTACGTACAAAAAAAAGTTAAAAATGATTTGATGAAATGAGCCGTCTCGACATTTTTCGCCAACCAGTGATATTAGATTTTCATTAAATTGACAAATTTCAATGCTTACGGAAATTCAAAAACCAGAAGCTATCTAGATTTATAAGACTGAAAAGAAAACATTGGAGATTAGATAAATAATTTCATGAACCTAATTACAACATGTAGATAGAGGAGAATGAACTGGTATATTATAAAAATATGTAAAAAATAAGAAATGGAAAATATGTACTCATAAACATATCAACCAACCATCATACTAAGAAATTAGCCTTCCAACAAGTGCATCAACTAGCCATTATACTAACCAACTCTCAACCTAATAGACTAACCAGTCATTACAGCAGCCAACTGACCAAATGACCGACCAACCGATCAACCAACAAACTAGCACACTAACCAACTAGTAAGCACGCAAAACAAAACGTCAACCAACCGCCGCACATCAATCAGTCAGAAAGTCAGCACTCAAACCAATCAACCAGCATACCAAGCAACCAGCATACAACTAGAAAACACCGGCCAGTCAGTACCACTCCAACCAACTGGCACAGTAGCCAACTGACCAGTAATAAAGATTGGTCCATTGACTTCATAGTGACCACTCCACGGTTGGTTGGCCGTCATTAAGCTACTTCTGGAGTAAGGCAAACCTTCATAATAACTGGACACCATGTTCCATGCTATGAAGCTTTATTGAAAACGAAGTTAATCGGAATGGTGATGCGGATCAGTCAAGTTGACAAATAACTCCAAAAAAAAACTATTATGAGTTGATGGTAAAATATCAAGCACTAACATAACAGCACACATAAAATATTAACATAAAGTATTAACATAACAACGCACAACTAACCAATGAACCAACTAACCTAGTCAAATATCCAAATACAACCCCTTCACTGAGGACCTTGATTATTTCATGAAAAAAAAAGTAAAAAGCATTTTATTTAAACGGATTTACCATAAAAACTTAACAAAATGATCAGTCAGTTGAAAGACAATTTTTAAAGATATAAATAAAAATATGATGTAAATTGATTTTAATTGAGAATGAAAAAATTATGTTGTGAAAAGGGATACCATTTACGCAGGTGCAATATTTAAAAAAATTTTAAACTTTAAATAAATAAATAAAGTGCGCTTAATAAATTGCGGAAGGAGACCATAAACGAGCATTGATTAGGATTGATAATATATTGTGATAAAGATTTATCTTCCTAATTGTAAAACGATCTTACCATGCCAAATTTTCCTTTTGTATGCATGTTAATTACAAAATAAATTTACACACATTAAATATCTACTCTCGTTACAAAATTAAACACCCATGCACGTATAAGAAAGGGTCAAACAAACATTTTAGCAATCACTGTGAACGGACACCTGTACAAACACAACACAACGAAGTAAGTGCCGCAACACAACAAACGCACCCTTGCCCAGCAAGCAGATCCAATGACGTCATCAACCGTGCTGTAATCTTCGGATGCCCACAACTTCTTTGATAACGATCGAGCGATATCTGGACTGTAACCACCTGGGTAGTGTTGCCTTGAAAATGATATAACATCTATCTATTGCTATCTTGAAAATGATATAACATCTATCAGGTGCTATCTTGAAAATGATATAACATCTATCCAGTGCTATCTTGAAAATGATATAACATCTAACTTGTGCTATCTTGAAAATGATATAGCGTCTCGTGTAACGAAATAATTTAGAATTGCGTTTTACAATAAAGAAGAAAACAAGAATAATGAACAGCAGTTTAACTAACCCAATTATATCGACAGCACTCCTGAGTTCCTCGTCACTTATGAGCTCATCCACATACGACCAATTCATGGCGTCGGGAGCAACCAACTTCACGTCATTCAAGCCATTATCGTTCAGCGTGCGTCTCAACAACTTCATGAATTAATTATGTTATGTGTACTGTGAGTACAGTGCGCATATTAATGACAGTATGTATGTACGTATGTCTGTTTACATGGCTGCATTGTAAGGAATATATGCATCATGGATATCCAGAGAAAAGGAAGCACAGCCCGATAACATCCGATGCGATTCGGAGACCCAAGCAGGCAAGCCAGTTACGACCATCCTTTTATAGATTGCATTCATTCTATTGAAAACACCAACAAAAAACATAATTGTAGAAAAATATTTTTAACCATATTCTAAAAATTTTGTAACACAACAAATAGTTTTGATTTAACAACTAAATTGAACAGTAAAGTTTATATATGAAATTTTTATGTTTACTATAATACGATTTTATTCGTTTTTTATTTCTTTAATATTTTTGATGTTTTTGTTGATAATATACACTAAAAAAATAGAGACACGAGTCAGACACAAATCTCATTCCTAGTTAGGTCTAGGCGCACACGCAGACTGTGTTTTCTGCTGCTATATATCAAGATTTCCATGGTATGACAGTACAATTACATACATAAGCTTT